AATACTCTTTTAGAAAAAGGATAAAGCCTGGATCCTTGAAAATGTTCCCAGTGCTGATTTTGTGTTTCTTACTGCTACTATACTACATATTAAGGAAAATAATCATGCTTTCAGTTTTGAATGAAATGTCCTAAGTCGGGGGACAACAGGAATGGCTTCATGGGTATAAGACCTGTGTTCCACTGTCCCACACCTGTCATTATGCTCTGCTCTCACTTTCTTGCTACTAATTTTTTATTTGGATTGATTGATTGAGACAGAGTCTTGCTCTGTTACCCAGGCTAGAGTTCAGTGGCACGATCTCAGCTCACTGCAACCTCCACCTCCATGGCTCTAGCGATTCTCCTGCCTTAGCCTCCTGAGTAGCTGGGATTACAGGCACCTATCACCATGCCAAGCTAATTTTTGTGTTGTTTTGTTTTGATTTTGGTAGAGATGGGGTTTCACCATGTTGCCCAGGCTGGTCTTGAACTCTTGACCTCAAGTTATCTGCCCGCCCTGGCCTCCCAAAGTGCTGGGATTACAGGTGTGAGCCACCATGCTCGGCTTTGCTATTAATTTGTGAACAAGAATTGAGCATTTTCATTTTGCACTGGGCCTCTGCACATTATGTAGCAGGTCCTGGGTGAGGCATTGTGTGATAGGTACTTCAACTGTGCTCTTTAATGTGAGAATTTATAGGCAGATAGCTATGCTGGCTGTAGAATCCACCCTGGAAGAAGAGAGGCAGGGACCTAGCTCATACAATTGTAATGACCATAACTCATTAGGGATTCTCTCAATTTAATCACAAATCTATATGCTCTGGACATCTTCAAACTAGAATACAGGATCTAAGGTGACCATATAATACTCAACTGTCTATTCGACATTTAATAAAATGTGTAAGTAGTTCTATTAAAACTCATGTACTTTGCAACGTGACAGTAAATAAAACACAAAGCAAACACTAGAAATATACATATATGTGTATGTGTATATATATACACATATATATATATATGAGTTGTGTTTACACATTCTTAAAGAGAGGATAAGATTGAGTGAAGGACTTGGTGCTATTTTATGCTTAGAGAAAAGAGTATATAGCTTAATATTCTGAATCTCAGATTCTTTATCTGAAAACTATGGGAAAAATAATACTTACTTACAGGCTGGACACATTGGCTTACACTTGTAATCCCAGCACTTTGGGAGGCCAAAGTGAGAGGATCATTTGAGCCCAGGAGTTTGAGACCAGTCAGGGCAAAATAGGGAAACCCTGTCTCTACAAAAAATAAACATTAGCAGGCATGGTGACACACACCTGTAGTCCCAGCTACTTGGGAGGGAGGTGGGAGGATTACTTGAACCTAGGAGGTTGAGGGTGCACTAAGCCATGATTGTGCCACTCACTCCAGCTTGAGTGACAGAGCAAGACCCTGTCTCAAAAATAAATAAATAAATAAATACATAAATAAATAAAACAAAACCTATGTACAGACATATTATATCACATAAAATTAAATATGTGAAAACTGCTTAATAAAGCCATATGAAACAATAGGTAGGGGGAATAGAATAGCATGCTTAGGTCCTAGTCCCCGTTTAGTCTCTTAGGAGTAAAACTGAAATCTGATCTCAATTTTTTCTTCTCTGAAATGGAGATAATAATAAAGTCTGTCATACAGAGTTTTGTGAGAATTAAAATAATCTACATAAGGTGATTAGCAAACTGCCTGGCACATAATAAGTCTGCCTCTCCACAGCCTTGCCAGCATCTGTTATTTTAAAATGTTTTAAATTATAGCCATTCTGGCTGGTGTGAGATGGTATATCATTGCAGTTTTGATTTGCATTTTTCTGAGGATTCGTGATGATGAACATTTTTCACACGTTTGTTGACCACGTGTATGTCTTCTTTACAGAAGGGTCTGTTCATGTTTTTTGCCCACTTTTTAATGGGGTTATTTGTTTTTTGCTTGTTGAATTACTTAAATTCCTCATAGAATCTGGATATTAGACCTTTGTCAGATGCATAGTTTGCAAATATTTTCTCCCATTTAGTAGGTGGTCTGTTTACTCTGTTGATCGTTTCTTTTGCTGTACAGAAGTTTTTTTAGTTTAATTAGGTGCCACTTGTCCATTTCTGTTTTTGTTACAATTGTTTTTGAGAATTTAGTCCTAAATTCTCTCCAAAGACCAATGTCCAGAATGGCATTCCCTAGTTTTTCTTCTAGGATTCTCATGGTTTGAGGTCTTGCATTTAAATCTCTAATCCAGCCAGGTATGGTGGCTCATGCCTATAATCTCAGCACTTTGGGAGGCTGAGGTGGGTGGATTAGTTGAGGTCAGGGGTTCGTGACCAGTCTGTCCAACATGGTGAAACCCTGTGTCTACTAAAAAATACAAAAATTAGTCATGTGTGGTAGCATGAATCTGTATTCCCAGCTATTCAGGAGGATGATGTGAGAGAATTGCTTGAACCCAGGAGGTTGCAGTGAGCTGAGATCACGCCACTGCACTCCAGCCGGGTGACAAAGTGAGATACTGTCTCAAAAATAAATAAATAATTATTTCATCCATCTTGAGTTAATTTCTGCATATGGTGTGAGGTAAGGGTCCACTTTCATTCTGCAGATGGCTGGCTACCACCATCTAGCACCATTTATTGAATAGACAATCTTTTCTCCATTGCTTATTTTTGTCAACTTTGTTGGAGATCAGATGGCTGTAGATGTGTGGCTTTATCTGGGTTTGCTTTGCTGTTCCATTGTTCTACACATCTGTTTTTGTTCCAGTACCATGCCATTTTAGTTACTGTAGCTTTATAGTATAGCTTGAAGTTGCAAAATGTGATGTCTCCAGCTTTGTTCTTTTTGTTTAGAATTGGTTTGGCTATTCAGGCTCTTTTTTGGTTCCATATAAATTTTAGAGTGTATTTTCTAAGTCTGTGAAAAATGACATTGGTCGTTTGATGGTAACAGTGTTGAATCTGTAGATTGCTTTGGGCAGTATGGCCATTTTAACAATATTGATTCTTCCAATTCATGAGATTGGAGTGTTTTAAAATTTGTGTCATCTATAACTTCTTTAACAGTGTTTTGTAGTTCTCCTTGTAGAAATCTTTCACCTCCTTGGTTAGATATATTTCTAGGTTTTTTACTCTTTTTTGTGGCTGTTGTAAATGGAATTTGGCTCTCAGCTTAAAGGTTATTGGTGCTACTACAGAAATGCTATTAATTTTTATATATTGATTTTGTATTCTGAAACTTTATTTGTATTCTGAAACAATTTAAGTTCCAAGAGCCTTTTGGTGGAGTCTTTAGGGTTTTCGAGGTATAGAATCATTTTCAGTGCTGAGATAAATTGGCTTCTTCTTTTCCTATTTGGATGCCTTTTATTTCTTTCTCGTGGCTGATTACTCTGGCTAGGCCTTCCAGTACTATGTTGAATAGGAGTGGTAAGAATGGGCTTCCCTGTCTTTTTCCTGTCCTTAAGAGGAATGCTTCCAGCTTTTGCCTGTTCATTATGATGTTGGCTGTGGGTTTGTCATAGATGACATTTGTTATTTTGAGGTATGTTTCTTCTATGCCTAGTTTGTTGAGGGTTTTTATCATAAAGGAATGTTGAATTTTAAAGTTTTTCCATGTCTATTGAGATGATCATTTGGTTTTTGTTTTTAATTCTGTTTATGTGGTGAATCACATTTATTGATTTGCATATATTGAACCAACCTTGCATCCCAGGAATGAAGCCTACTTGATGGTGGTGAATTAACTTTTTGATGTTCTGCTGGATTTGATTTGCTAGGATTTTGTTGAGGACTGTTGGTCTGTGTTCATTAGGGATACAGTCCTGTGATTTTTCTTTCTTTCCTTTTCCTTTTCTTTCTTTCTTTCTCTTTTTTTTTTTTTTTTGCTGTATCTTTTTTTTTTTTTTTTTTTTGAGACAGTCTTCTCTGTCGCCAGCTGGTGCATGCCGGATCTCAGCTCCTGCCTCCGCCTCCGGTTTAACCATTCTCCTGCCTCCTCCTGAGTCTACTCAGCGCCCCCCCTCCCCCTGTTTTTTTTTTTTTTTTTTAGTAGACGGTTTACGTTTACAGATTCTTTCTCTCTATCGCCGTTCGTCCAATGTGGATTCATTGAGCCCCGCCCCTTTTTGCTGTATCTTTGCCAGGTTTTAGTATCAGGGTGATAATAGCTTTGTCAAATACGACAGGGAAGAGTCCCTCCTCAATTTTTTGGAATAGTTTCAGAAGAATTGGTATCAGCTGTTCTTTGCACATCTGATAGAATTTGGCTGTGAATCCATCTGGTCCAGGGCTTTTTTTGGTTGCTAGGTTTTTAATTACTGATTCAATTTAAGAACTCAATATCATTCTGTTCAGGGTTTCAATTTTTTTCTGATTCAATCTTAGAGGTTGTGTGTTTTGAGGACTTTATCCATTTCCTCTAACTTTCCAGTTTGTGTGCATAGAAGCATTTATAAAATTCTCTGAGGATCTTTTGTATTTCTGTGGGATCAGTTGTAATGTCACCTATGTCATTTCTGATTTTGCTTATTCAGATCTTCTCTTTTTTTTCTTCGTTAACTAGCTAGTGGTCTACTGATCTTGTTTATTGGTTCAAAGAAACAACTTTTGGTTTTGTTGATTCTTCATATGGATTTTGGGGTCTCAATTTTGTTCAGTTCTTCTCTGATTTTAGTTATTTCTTTTAATCTGCTGGCTTTGGGGGGTTTGTTCTTGTTTTTGTAGTTCTTCTAGATGTAATGTTAGATCATTAATTTGAGATCTTTCTAAGTTTTTGATGTAGGCATTTAGTGCTATAAACTTTCCTCTTAACACTGCTTTTGTTGCATCCCAGAGATTTTTGTATATTGTATTTCTGATTTCATTTATTTCAAAGATTTTTTTTTTATTTCTGCCTTAATTTTGCTATTTACCCAAAAGCCATTCAGGAGCAAGTTGTTTAATTTCCATGCAATCGTGTAGTTTTGAGAGATCTTCCTGGTGGTAATCACTATTTTTATTTCACTGTGATCTGAAAGTGTGGTTGGTATGATCTCGATTTTTTTGAATTTATTGAGAATCACTTTATGGCTGAGCTTGTGGTTAATCTTACAATATGTTCCATATGCATATCAGAAGAATGTACATCCTGTGTTTGATGGGTATTCTGTAGACGTCCAATTGGTTGAGTCACATTGAAGTCTAGAATTAAATTTAAATCAAATTTAAGTCCAGAATTTCTTTGTTAGTTTTTCTGCATCTATGATCTAATGCTGTCAATGAGGTATTGAAGTCTCCAACTATTACCGTGTGACTAAGTCTTTTCATAGGTCTAGAAGGTTTTATGAGTCTGGGTGCGCCAATGTTGGGTGTGTATATATTTAGGATAGTTAAGTCTTCTTGTGGAATTGAACTCTTTATCATTGTGTACTATCCTTCTTTATCCTTTTTTTTTTTAACTGCTGTTGGTTTAAAGTCTATTTTATTTTATATAGGAATAGTGACTTTGGTTAAATAATTTTTGAAAATTTAATCTGAGATGATTACCAAATAGGGTTGCATATTAATCTGATTAACAAGGGGCAAGGAGTCTAGTCAGTAAACAATTTGCAAGCCATGACGTAATTAGGTAAAATGTTAAATAGAGTTAAACTCGCTCCAATTTAGTGACATCTGTAATCCATTCATTTTAATTGATTCAGCAGTTACTATATGCCAGACTGTACAGATGCAGACTTTAAGCAGATGAAATCTCCATCTTTGAGATACTCACAGTCCAATGGAGGGGGCAGGTGAGTCCACGTACAGGAAACAGCACGTGAAGACTGGAGGAGAGCTGTTTTTGTGATGCACAGGAAAATAGAGGAGCATGTGCTTGACTCCACCAGTCATTGGTGGCTCTCTTAATACTGTTTTCTGTTTAATCATCATCTTTAACTGCTAATCAAAAAGTTCATTCCACAAGTATTTAAAGTTAATTTAAAGAAGTGTCAGACACTGTTCAAACACTGAGACAAAAGGACAAGTGATTTGCGTCTTTAATGCCTTGTTCCCTTGAAACCAACCTAACCTACATGATTGGCAGTTGGGCAAGGGGAAGAGGGGAACTCCCTCAATTTTTTCTGCCCTCCCTTCTCACCTATCCTCCTGTGAGCATTCTGTGTTTTACCTTTTACTGTTCTGTTCTCTCCTTTTTAGATAGAGCTGTCTGGTTTGTTCTAGAAATTAGTCATTTTGGGTTATGAGGTGAAGTACCTCCTATGGAGATGAGAGATTTCTGGAAATATGATTGCCATGGATTAGTGGAGAGGTAAGCAGAATCTAGGTTGTAGGAATGATCTGTGGGCTCCTTAACGGTAGAAAAGAAGTTTTATTAATCTTTTTATTCCCAGAGTCTAGCAGAGTATGAGGTAGATGTCTATCGCTCAGAAGAGGTTTTCTGGATGAATCAGTTAATGACAGGCCAACCATTAACAGTAATGAGATCTGGATTCTAGATCTCTAAGTGGAAGAATGTAGGAAAACATGATGGTCAATGGAAGAGTCACCCAGGATACTTTTGTCCCTCTTCCTATAGAAATATAAAAATTAAAAACCTTTTAAAATCAGGTAGCCTATGATTGCAGGGGAAAGAGGAAACTCCCAAATCCACAATGACTCCTCCTTCTTTCTATTTCTGGCATAAAATTAGCTGCCTAAAGACAAAGCCTTTTATTCCACAATTAAGGATACAATTAAACATGCAAATACCTGAAAGAGTAAGCATTATGCTAATGGGTCTGAAAATATAAATGAAGAATCAAAATCTATCCTGCTTTAAAGAAGGCACCAGTTTAGGAGGTAGGCTCTAAGTACTTGAAGCAATAAAAGGAACTCACCTTTGCCTAACAAGTCCCATATAGTAGCCTCCTTCATACATTCAGTTTAACTTCATCCTAATAAGCCTGTGAACTAGGTACTATGTCCATTTTATAAATGCGACACTCAAGTTTTAGCAAACAATAAGCTATGCACAACTATCATTATTCATAATGACAAGTTATGAATTCTGGATGAGAAGCCAGGTCTATTTGGAGGAAATCAGTACAAAGTATAAAACAGAAGTTATATCATCAATATGAATTTAACCAGTGCCCTTATAAGTCTAGACTCTATCCAGACTTTCTGCTTCATCCTGTTAAACTGCTTCAGGTACCTTCTTATGTTCCCCTCCCAGTTACCTTTGCCCCTACTAAGATTTTAAGAGAAGAGTAATTCTGAATTCAACAAGTTTCTATTTCCTATTCTGCTGCAACATATCATAGTCAATATGCTTCTAAGTGAATGACTAATGACGTTGTTAAATAAGAATTATGAGGAAATGAACGTGTGCAATAAAAATACCACTGTCCGCTAGCCCTGTGCCAAGTACTGGGCAGGAGGGTGCACACAGCTGACTGTGGCATGTTCTCTGGGAAACAGCTAACATATTGGGTCCAAGATTGGAGGGGAAGAAGACAAAAATGTGACTCATAACACAGTCCACAGACTTTATGGCTTTGCCTTAAATGTTTTCAAGAAATCCATTGCCAAGTGAAGCTGGAAGCAGTTTGTACCACTGGAGTGAAGAATTCTGCCATTCCACACTCTTCTTTAACATCCCCAGGCTACTAACCTGCAGTTAAATGGGGCAGAAAATAGAGTGAAAAGATATGTTTGCTACTATAGAAAAAAATAAATGACCAGAGTGTCTTACATGATGATGTAGCTTTTCCCTCCCACCAAAATCAACCAGGTGGGAACACCCTTCACCCAGAATAAAAGCTCAAAGGCAAAGTGTCCAGGATGGAATGTGTTTTCTTGAGAGTGCCCTTGATATAACCTTAGTTCCCAGGAATAGAAAGACTAATTGTGTTGAGAATGAGGTTCACCCTGGGCCCTTCCCTCATCTCAAGTTTTCTGACTAAGAGGGTATAGGCTGTGCGTGCTCGTCTAAATCCATTATTAAATTAGGTCCCAATTTAAAGAGTTTGTCAGAGTTTAGCAAACAAATGAAACAGCCTAAAAGGCCTTGCAGCACCAGATATTTTCTGGAGATCCCAGTAGCAGCAGGTAGAGTCTGCATCCTGAAGATACAACCAGACTCGATGCACTTGGTGTCAGCCAAGCTGGTATTGGATTGCCACAGGATTGTTCAAATACCTTGGCTTATATTTTAATATTTTCTCTCACATTTGTATAGGAAAGATAGTCTTGGAATTAATTCATTTAACAAATGTTTCCTAAGGAGAATTCTTTGTGCCAAGCACTGTGGCATAAAGCACTAGAGCTATGAAACATCAAGACATTACTGGGATTTGCAGGTCCAGTATTGAATAATATTGATTCATTTCAAAACATTTTATCACAAAAGTTTAACAAGGACCAGAGTAGTCACTATGTTAACAGGTGAGTTTCAAATATTAGTGGTCTTCTGGGCAAATTTCACTTTAGGACATCTTATAGGCATGTTGTAAAAATCAAAATAGGATAATTGCAAGGCACATAACACATGGGGTATCAGGAAGTGAGTTACCATAATGGTCTGCATACTATTTGGATTGCCTATAGATCTAGACTGTGAGAAACTTGAGGAAAGGAGTTCTGTGGTATTATTCATCATTGTGCCCTTAACATCTACTACAGACTGGTACATTGCAAGTAAGTACAAATACCACATTTATTGAATGAAAGAATCAAGGCATGAAGGAATCAATGTATGAATGCCTTAAGTTAAACAAGGGGCAAGAGGCTAACCTGAGTGCATCTGTCATATTACATAGCCTTTGAGGCAAACACTGTCTCAGGTAGTAGTAACTTTGAGTAACATATAGACTTAGAACCACTGTAAAAGAAATAAGACTTCGAAATTCAGAACAAAACTATGAGCAGGGGGCTGGAAAGGGGCGAAGAATGCCTAGGGGAAATAGAAGAAATCATGTGGTTAGGAAGACCGATAACATATATGAAGACTTGGAATGGCCTACTGCATATGCAGTGAGTTTTTTTTATCATGTGGCTTCTACTGAATTCTTTTCAGATTCTGCCTCTAGGTAGAGCCTTGTTTGGGTGAGAAATGCTGATGAGTTAACAGAGCTGAGCATTCTGGAGCCATGGAATGCTGACCATCCCCTTCAGGCTTCATGGGGTCTAGAGGAGCAAAAATCTAAAAGTCATCAGAAAGTCTGTCCTTCTTCCTTTGCTGAAGGTAAGCAATGGGATAATCTCACTGCTGAGAAAACAGTGTCTTAGTTGCAACCAATTCTGTGGTCTCTCTGTCTGACAGGGAAAAGGTGGCTTCATAATAAATGATGAATATTACCAACATTTATCAACTACTTCCCATGTGCCAGGTATCTAAATTCACTATTTTATTTAATCCTCACAACCACTTTATGGTATCCTATTACTATACTCATCTTCACAGATAAAGAAAGCCCAGAGACACTGATTTGTCTGTGGTCATAGAGTTAGGATGCGGCAGAACTATGATTCACATGTTTTTCTCTCTGGAAGAATCTAGCAACTCTGTGCTTAAATGTTGCTCTCCAATGTCTCACAAATAGGATCTGAATGTCCATGCTCATGTTGTCTAGCTGTGTGATCTTGGGGGGAATCATTTAACTTCTCCGAGTTTCAGTTTCTTCATCTATAAAATGGAGGCAACATCCCCTGAATCATAGGGTTTTTGGGAGAATTCTATGGGATAATACATGTAAAACAATAGAATAATGGTTGACCCGTAGAAAGTGTCTGACAAATACTTCCCTCTATTTCTACTGCCTCATCTGTGGCAGGGATAACTGCCTTCCAAGTTGGTTACAACATCAAGGGTCTAAGGATCCTCGATATGTTTAATATAAGGTAGTGAAGACACTCTCTTTTTTTTTGTCTGTGTACCATGTCATATGCCTGGAATGTTCCCTCTTGTTTACTCCATCTGTAAGCTGTAAATCATGGCCCATTAGTGAGTTATTAAATCAAGTTAATGAGCTATGATCTCCATTTTTTAAAAAGGAGAGAAACAAATAGAACGGAAAATAACAAAGTACACTGTATACAAAAGGTGTTATTCCTATTTAACAAAACTTTTCTGTTTTATGTGTGTATGTATTTACTGGGTCAGGATAAAGAATGTACTTCTTACTTTGCATCTAAATATTTGAAAGGCTCTCGGTTACCTCATATAAGAGCTTCAAGAATTATTCGGATATGCTTCCATGGAAGCAATCAAGATTCCAGGCCTTTCTAGAACTAACAGATCTTTTCATATCACATTGCATTTAATTATCTTCCCTTCATCTGTCTTCCCCAGCAGACATAAGTTTCTTGCAGACAGGAAACATGACTGTTACTGCTGTGTCCTCAGTGTCCATTATAGGTCCTTGCACATAATATATACTCAAAAATGTTTGATGAAGGCCTGAATAAATCACGGCAACTGTTTCTTAAATCCACATTCAAAACTCAGAGGTTATTTGCCTGAACTCTCAAAATCGATATCTTTTATTAACAAATGAACAGGGCTAAGTTTTTCTTTTACATTATTTCCTGTGACCTTTTTCTCCTTCCCCTTGGTGGAATGATTTGCTTTTTTTCCTTGCCCTCCTGGGTATTCTAACTTTCCTTTTATCAAAACAAAGGATTAGAAATTTGCACTTTTGTATAAATTTAATCCCCCATATCTTTGGCTTCTCCTAGTAGCATTTATACAAAAGATGCATCCCTGTTACTAGCAGGAAAAGCCTTGTTAGTTCTTTATTATACCAGCTTTTATCAGCTAATAGGTAAGAAGGGAAAGGGATATTTGAGAGGGAGGGAGATCTTCATGAGCTCATAAACTCACTCTTCCAAGGCAGTTGCCTGCCGTCTCTGCCCACAACAAAAGCCTCAAAATACATGCAATAAAATTCATATTCCAGTAGCTCACGAGCCTAAATGCATCTATGTTTGAAGCATTGATAATGTACTTGTGCATCATTTTGAAAAACATTTTATTCATATTTGTAACTTTACTTTTAAATTAACTACATGTTTCACAGTCTTCTACCACTATATGTTTCACAATGCAGGAAATACACAATACAAGTAGCATATTAAATCAAACATACCCAAATCATTCCCATAGAACATGAACAGTTAACATTAGCAATAATCAATTCCGCTTGCACAGCACCACTAAAGTACTTCAAGCACTTCACACAAAAGATTAAAGAAAAAAACTATAATTAGATTAGAAAATAGAGAGAGTTGGCTCATGTTTAAAATACCGCCTGGCTCAGATAGTGCTGGTTACCACTCCCTTCAAAATTTCAGGTAAACGAATTGCCACCACCTGGGAAGATCATTTCTAGTGGGGAAATGAAGGCAGCTTCTGCAAGACCCCAGGAAGGTACATTCTCTCTGACACCACCAGGACCAGGGCGAGAGTTGGGAGCATATGTGTGAGCGTGTGCGCTTGTGTGTGTGTGTGTGTGTGTGTGTGTGTGTGTGTGTATAGGGTATGGGAGGTAAATCCAAGAGGAAGAATGGTTTTTTGGTGCAAGCACATATTTTACTAAGTCAGCTACATTGTTTCTCACAGAACAAAGAAAGCACTTGCTTTCTGATTTAGGTTTTGGCTTCATAGAAAACTATAAATAATACCAAAGAAATCCCATATTCCTACAGCATGGTTTATCCTGAACAAAAACCCCAAAGACATTTGTGTTAGAACTTCACCTCTCCTTATTCCTTAATCAAAGAGTCCATCACTGTGCGGACAGAAGCAGATTGGGAATCACAGCTAAAGTGTATTCAACAGCTGACACCACATAAACTAAGCCCTTAGGGAGGCAGAGTGATGTGGGGAGACATATGGGACTGCGGGTAGGAGAGCTGATTCTGCCACAGATAGCTGTGGGATCCCAGGCAAGTCTCTGTCTCTGGTCTCCTCAGGCCTCAGTTTCCTCTTCTGTAAGTTAAGCAGAGGGCCCAATGATAACTAAGGTTCCTTCTAGCCCTAGAATTACACAAAGCTAAGCAAAGTGAGGAGAATAATACACTTTCAGGATGTTATTCTCAGATTTGAGCCATGCTCATCCTCTTATATTTATATAATCAGAGAAACCCTGCTAGTAATTTATTCTGAGGAAGCAAGTAGTTGACTTTCTAAAATAAACACAACTGACCATGGTCCTATACAAGCACTTTAGACAAAGCAAATCCTGTTGCCAAAATTAGTATTAGAAAAAGTACAAAAGTACAAACTTGTTGAATCTTTTTTGGTAAGAATTTCATTTAGGCCTTGCTTCTTGCTTTTTTTTTTTTTTTTGGTCTGTTTTATCACTTTTCATGAGAATAAGGCCAGGGGGCTCTTGTAAGTTCTTTCTTTCTGATTCACTGATACGACTATATGCACGGCCCATATTTCTTCTAATTCTATGTCTCTTAGAGTCATTTAGATGCTAAAGTCAGCCCTCTAGGTACAAAATAAGTAGTAATAATTGAACATTTGGAAACCAAATACCATATTTGTATATTATAGAGATTTCATTTGGGGAATTTCTTATGAAGTGTCAAGTATTTCTGAGTCTCATTAAAAGGAGGTTCCTCCCTTCAATACAATATCCAACTATTACTTTTGTTACTCTAAGTCTTTGTCTCTTCTGTATGTTATACTTTTATTTATGATTTTAGAGAATAAAGATTTAAATCTAATTACTACTCTTTCAAATAAGTGTATTAATTTTATATAATATCATATCACTTCATTTAATTTTCTTAATCTTCCACAACTTAATAGCTATTAGCAATATATTTCAGCAAATTTCTTCTAATATCTTAACAATTTATGCATTCTGTCTCTAATAAGATACTTGGTAATTTTCCCTTCGAGCTTTATTGTATATAAGCATTTCAGTTACACTAACTGATTTAGTTCTATGCTATTAACCCAGCTGACTTTTTCCACTTGCTACCAAGGACTAAAACATTTCAAAATTTAAAAATATTTTGTAGCATGTAGACCAACAATACAATACAAGAGAGAAGAAGAACTAGAAATCGAGCTGTTAACTTTCCATCATATTTGTGATGTCACTATAAGACATGCTCTAGGGTGGTTCTGAACAGTCACAGATTACAATTAAGGGTATCAAAATAATCTTTTGAAATGGAGTTGGCCAAATTCGAAGGGTTAATAACTTGTTTTTCTTAATCTCAGGGCTTCCCTGGAATAAGAAGGGACTCTAGGCTTATTGGTTCAGTCAGGAAATTAGGCCCTATGTGAACCTGTGCCTTCCAGAATCCCACTCCCTTCTAAGCCCTGCTGTAAATAACAAATACATACAAGACTTAACTTTAGAGCCAAAGTGGAACCAACAGCAAAAGTTCAACTCAAGTATGTAAATTAGTATCTATAACATATACCTCATGCCTAAAATTTCAGGTAAGAAGAATATGATCTCAGGTTGTAGTCAGATTGGATTCTGGGCCAGAGTGGGGAGTGGACAATACAATAAGAATGGGCATGGTTCTTCCATATGGTACATAGATTCATGTTGACCATTAATTAGGCATCACTTTCTTCCTTTTGCCTGTTAGTACTTATATATTTTTAAAAGTACAGTCAGCACTGATGAAGTTTGGAAGTAATACAGGAAGCTTGTCTTGGAAGAGGAACATGTTATAGTTGAGTGTTGATGGATCTTAACTCAAGAGGTAGCTACTAGAATGAAAGACAGGAAGGCATTTCACATTCAATCAATTATTTATCTTTTTCTGGTAAATTAATGAGTTTTGTCAGACAAGGAACAAGTAACTTTTATGGTCTGAGAAACAATTGGTAACGAGATGACACAGAAGGAAGTCTTTCTGCCAAAACTTGTTAGAGAAAAGTACACGACTCTTTAGAAGAATGCCGTGGATTTTAAATTTATGCACTAAAGTTAATGCAGTCAATACCAGGCAAGTTAGGAGATAATACAGGAATATTTTCTTTTCACATTGACAGTAAGCAAATGTCCAAGGGTTTGGTCCACATATGCCATTTAAGATTTATTAGAAATGAAAATGTTTCTTCTCATTATTTTTATTGCTACCTATGCTGAGCACTTTATCCTGGATCATAACATTGCCAAAGAATAACTTGATAAAAGCAGGCACCTTTAACTAATTTAATCTACTAACATTTCAGACATTTATTCCAAATGGTTAAACATAAGATGTTTCAGTAGAGTACTGATGAACATGGGTTAATTAGAACATATGTTCTGTTGCTACGTGGTGTTGCCTTTGTTTTCTCAAGTTGAATTGCTCACAAAGTGCAGATAGAGAAATACTCCATTGCCTACCTGACGTAGAGGGAGCGTTTCTGATTGGTTCGCAGGGACCCGGACCCGGAGCTCATGCTGTGGTTCATCATCTGCTCTCGTAGGTCATGGATTTTGGCCTCAAATCGAGCGTAATCTGGGAATGAAACAAAGGTAGCAAATTTGGCTCTGTGCCTTCAAGAGTTAGAAATGCTGCACAGCTCAGGCAGCCCCTCATCCACGTTGTTGGTTCCTTTGCCAAACAATGGGGAGACACACAATTCAAGGGTATGCCTGTTTACTATTATTTATTCACAGACATTTACAAGAGGAAAATGATAAAGCAGTTATTTCCCAAAAGGTACCTAGAAAACACACCACCATCAAATTACCAACTTGTAAAAAGTCCATTGGGGGTGGGAAAGGGAGGATGGGGGAATCATGGGGAGGGGTGGAGGTAGATGTGGTTATAAACAGGCAATGTAAAGTATCCTCGCGGTGATGGAAATGTTCTCTATCTTGCCTGTAGTGGTGGATATTGGCAACTGCACATGTGATAAAATTACACAGAACTAACACACACACACACAGACAACTGGGGAAAATCTGAATAATATTGATGAATTGTGTCAATGTGAATATCCTAGTTGTCATAATATGCAATAGTTTTGCAAAATGTTACTACTGGGAGAAACTGAGTAAAGTTATTTCTTACAGCTGCATGTGAATCTATAATTATCTCAAAAACAAAAAGCAAAAAAAAAAAAAAAAAATCCATGGGAATCTCAACTCAATGGGGTATTGAGGAGAGTCTTTAGTTACTCTCAGCCTGATAGACCAGACAATCAAGAGTTTGGTGATGAATTGTGTAAGAAATGTCATTTAATTTAACTAGGTTTTGTTAGGGGGTGGAGGTCTGCTAGAAGTTGACCACTGGGATCATACCTCAATTTTGTCCCATAACTTTGCCCCACATGCCAAATTTTAGAACTTTTCAAACATTAAAAATTATGGGTATAAAAAATATCAAAGAAATCTATATATTATACCTTTGCCATTGTTTCACAGAAAAAAATATTTTTGGCATGTCAACTCAATAAAAATAAAGAAAGAATAGGTTCTAAGGTACTTATTAACACAATAAACATGTAAAAAGAAATGTCTTTTGATGTTTCAATATTTTTTATCACAACCTAGAAACTTCTATCATTTCCTTGGCAAAACAATGTCTTGCTTTAGAAAATTCAGCAGGCTTAACTTACCCACGAATAAACTTAGAAATGTTAATTGAAATTATAAATGGTTCTTTTAATTACAAAGAAACTCACCATGAAGAATTTTAATAGAGTACGAGTACATCAGTACATTTCAGAAAACAATTTGATTTTTAATTCAATTTATTCACAACTTTAATAAAACAAGGATGAATGAATATAATAAAAGATGATCTGCTTATAGAGTGTTTCAAATTCTTTATAAGAAAAAGTTCTACAAAATGTAATTTCATTTCGGCTTACTGAATATGTATTGAGTACTGTAGGGATAGCTTTTCTAAAAGATTTGACCTTCATTTTCAGTAATAAATAGATAACAGGAAAATAAACTCTGAATATTAAATATTTTTAAAGTTTAATACACAACAGATAAAGCCATAATAGTTGGCTGGAAATTTCTGGTGCATAAGCAAAGTCTGGTATTATCCAGATTTGGAAGGCTTCCTGCTTATGCTTAGCTTTGAATAATTAAGTCCTAAGTGATTAAATAAGCAGAATACATATTTAACAACATATTTAAGGTAAAAATCTATTGACTATAATTTAAGAAAATTTATTTCATTTTCTAGTGAGAGAAAACATTTATTTATAAACATCAATATGATACTGTATGCAGGCCAGACATGGTGACACACACATATAGTCCCAGCTATTTGGGAGACTGAGGCAGGAGAATCACTTGAGCCCAGGATTTCAAGGTTTCAGTGACTTATGATCTCACCACTGCACTCCAGCTTGGGTGACAAAGAGAGACCCTGTCTTTATTTAAAATTTAAAAAATAAAGATACGATACTGTATGCAGATTTAAATCATTTTGAGCAAGTCGTATTTTCTTGTCACCTTGGAAGAGTCAATTAACATTTATTGCTGGCCACATGGCAGACAATATGTTCAATGCTTTATGGGCATTATCTCATTTCTTTTTTAAATTACAAAATGAAGTCTATGGATGTTGAAAATTTTGAAATATATAGAAAATCACAGGATAAAAATTGAGAGACTCTCTTGCCTCTTCTGCCTTCCCCTACCTTCTCTCTCACTGCTCTCTTTCCCTACAACTTACCCTAGTGATACATGTACGGTTGTGTGCTAGATATGTATATGTGTGTTTGTGGGTAGCTGTGTGTGTATATACACACATACCTATACAAACGAGACCATAACTATTTATTGTATTAAGACTTTTTCTCCTTTTTTAATAGTGCAATTTGGATATTTTCCTGCCTTCTACAATGTACATAAATATCATTTTTCTTAATACTCTTAATACTCTATTCCATAGTTTAGACTGTATTTAACAACTCCCTTATCATTAGATATTTAGGCTTGTCCAGCTTTTTGCGATCATAAACAGGGATCTTGGTGTATGTGTGCATGTTGACAGCAGGTTAGTAGGGCACCAGAAGTGGAACTACTGGTCAAAGCTTTGCACAAAAATCTCACAGCCTCTAATAGCATTTCCCAGAGAAGAAAATGGCCTTGTCTGGAACATAGATCAGGAACTCTTAACTTTTTCTGACCCATGCTTTACATTGCCACTTGATAAATACCACGTCACCTCTGAGTACCACTAACTCTCCCATCTAGAGAGAGAGGACACTCTCCTTTATAACTTTGAAGACTTTATTACCCATGATAAAGGCAGGAGATCCCACCTTCCAGCTGTCCCTTCTTAAACATCTAACTCTGTGCAAGTCTCAACCCTCATTTAATCACTTTGCTAACTTTATTGTATTCATCACATCAACTTGCAGTTATTTGTACAGTTGTTCATCTTCCATTAGACTGAGCCCTCTGATGGCAGGAAATATTTTTCATTCTCCTTGGAACTTCCTTTTCCTAACATAGTGTCTGAGATGCTCAATAAACTATTTTTTGGTAAATAAAAAATAAATGAGGGAGTGAGTAGAATACCTGGATGAATTCAGTTACAAAATGGCTCCAGGTACTGAAATTGTCCATTTTCATTTTTATGTTTTTGCAGTAAGAAAGATGAACATGCATCTCCCCTAGTAATACTTTTTTCAAGACTAAATATTCTAATTCCAAGGCTTTATTTCTGTCAAATCACTACCACTTCCAAATTCTTCTGCTATTTTTATTGTTCTCTAGGAAATCTCTCCATGTCAATCATGTCATACATTGGAAACAATTCTCTGACACTTCGTCTATATACAATCAACACTTTGTTAGGCTCTTGTAAGCTGCTACATTTTATATAACACAATAGGATACTTGCCTTAATAATAAATTATATTTGCCTTACTGTATGGCTTTTTAGATACCCAAAATGTTTTCTGCCATGCTTTCCAAATGTTTCGACTGCATGACATTCTACGGTGTCAAAATTCCCCAGTATGAATGATTTATACTGTATTTGCCTTAATTGGAATCTACCTTGTTTTCATCTTTCCTATTTTGACAGTCATCTTAATCTAAATCCTGTGTCAGAGGGGCTTATCTGTCTCTTTGCTACTTTTCTTTGAAAACTAAACATACACACAAGAAATTTCATCGTAGTAAAACTAGTAAGATCTGGGTTTATAAATATAAATGGTGTGTCTGTGGCAGCAGAGCTCTGTCTCCAATTTCTTGGAGATAAACAAGTTTATAGTTAGAAATGCTCTAGAAGTAAACATGAAACCTGCTATGCAAATTGTGAAATATAAGTCTTTATGTTTTATAGAAGTACTGAAATTGTATTTCTCAACAAGTTAAAACAGAAAAACCTACCACTACCATATCCATTAAATATTAATTCTCTCTCTCTTCCTCAAATATTTTACTCATATCTATGCCTGCCCCTTTGGAACATTTTTCAGTCAAATTCATAACATTGTCTTCATTCCAAGCCTCAGGAGAACATTCGAATGAAATTTTCAAATGCTTCAATCTTTATATCATCCAAAGTGGAATTCATGTTTACTAAGCACCTGCAATGAGCTAGGATCTGCACCACATACTTTAAAAAATATATTATTTTTCCTAAGAAAGTTCTGAGGTAGATATATTATTTTACAGATGAGGAAACAGAGGTTCAGAGAGGTTAACTAACTTCACAAAAGTCACAGAGCTACTAGGTAACATTGGACATGGAGCTAGGATTCAACCCTGTATCTCCATGAAGTCATTTTGTATCCATGATGTCACGACATTGGTTATAACACCACAATTGTTTAGAATGTAAGGCCTCCTCAATTCTCTGCCCTTCCCCTCTTGACATCTTGCTCTTCCTTCCCTTCATCTATTGTGTTAGTCAGGTGCATGCTGGCCTTCCCTCTATCAAACTGTAAGCTACTTGGAGACTTGGGATGCCTCACTCATCTCTATTCCCAAACCTCAGGGTCTATCAGTCTACCTTCTGTGTAGACAGGACTTTCATAGTTTTGAACAAGTCAGAACCTGAAAGAATTTGCTTCCAGAATAGGACATGGACAGGAAAATTAATCATGATCATGCTGAGGCATAGAACAATATTAAAAATGCAGCACTTTCTTCTGTCTTGCTTTACATGAAATAGGTGACTGGTAAATGCTTTTTAAATTCCAAGTTATTTTATGTTTTGGGGGGATTTTATTCTGTAACAAGAAGCAAAACACTGAAACTGAACTCCTAAGCAAATGTTTTAGAGGAGCTTCATGAAACATTACCTCCAGCTAGTTCTTTCCCCACCTCTGTGTATGATAACCCATTTTTTTCCTCCACATTTTTGGGTATGTAAAGCCATTGTTCCTGACTAGGTGCATTTATTCTGGGGATCTGGCATTTGTTTTCACTTGGATAAGATGGATGATAATAGTAAAAAGTGTACAAGATTTGGGTTATGTAGATGGAGTCAGAATCCTGGTTGTGCCACTAAATAGCTATATATTACTATGAAAGTTATTAACCTTTCTGTGCTTGATTTTTCTCAAGTAAAATAGGAATAAGAATTGGACCTACCTCAAGATCTGTTGAGAAGATTATGAGAGAGCTGATGGATCTAAAAGATTGGCGCTTGGTAATGACTGTCAATTCCTTCTATTCTGTGTGTAATTCACCACCTATTCTTGTTCATCACTTGTGAAAATTATAACCCCTTTCTGTACTGAGTAAAATGGAAACCTGTGTCTGCTCCTAGAGACCCCTGTTAGAGCCTCCCTCTACCTGTTATGAATTGATGTCTTCACCAGGTCATATAGGAATGAGCCACAGATGGCCATACTTTAGGACACTTGCCATCAGATGGAACTTCTCATCTGCTAGGCAACCACTCAGGGTACTCTCATAAGTTGACTTGGAGTCCAGGAGAATAATGTCCAATTCCAAAGCTGCTGCTGTTTTCAGGAATATCAGTGACTTCATTCATCAGTGTTGTCTCAAGGCTTTGAGCTACTGATGGACACTTGGATGGAGCAAGGTCATAGGTGTGAACATCACAAACTACACAGTGAGGTGGGCTCTGCCATACACTTGTTTGCAATTTGTTAAGGGTGAATAAGGCGAATCAGAATGCAAAGCTACCATTCACACAGAAAAGGAGGCATTGTCTCCTATAAGAAGGCTGGTGTTGTTTAATGCAATAGGATTAATCTGCATTGATTAAAACTGCCCAACTGCTCATGTCTTCAAGACTCAGGTGGCTTACCTTGGTTCTGAGATAAGAAAACAATATACTCAGTGGGTTAGGCAATAGCATGAGGCCATGGCCTGCCCTCTCCCCTTCCCAAGTGAGCTGGTGGGCAGCATGCCACAGGATCAGTCACGACCTCATCCAGGTGTCTCATGATTGCCAGACAAGAGGAAGCCATGAACAGAGGAAACAGGGTTAGAAACTCTATGTTAGAAGGCCAGCTTTTAGTCTTAATCTTGTCATTTATTACTAATGAGGCCTTGGGAAGTTACTGAACCTCAGTTTGTTCATCTACAAATTGTGAGGTTCACCTCACAAAGTGGTTGTGAGACTCAAAATGAGATTTGACTGAAGTGATTTGAAAATATAAGATAGGTGTTTCTGTTATTACTTTGGCAACTCCTATTAGGACAAAGACATATGCAGTTCTTAGTGGTACTAACGGTGACAGTGGCACCCTCTTTCTATTTGTTCATTATAAACATGTGCAGCTTTAACAACAACTGGTAAGATCACTGGGCTGTAAACAGGACTCTGCACATCCAAGCAACAGAGACTACTTTCCTGCTGAGTTATCCATTTCCACACTACAGGAGAATTAGTTTGAAGAGAACACCTGCTGTACGTACGCAACGCTTTAAATAGACACAGCTGAACTAGAAGCTCTTGGTGTCTTATAATAAAGGAAATTTGAGCTTTAGGATAACTTCCAGTAGGGTTAGGGTAAATGTCAATGGTGTGTAGTCTGTTTGGGGTCACAATACTGTTTACCTGGATGTGACCCTCATTGTCACTGAGGCTTAGGAAGGGTACATGGTAAGGATGAAGCAGGAATGATTTACATCTATTCTTAGCAGAGCATCTAATCACTGCTCCAGGGATGAGGTGCTGTGAGCAATTATAAATGTTTCCATTTCTTTGGTAGAAACATCCTTCTTTCATTTATTCAGTAAATATTTCTTCGGGGTTTATTACATGCCTTGCACAATCCTAATTGCTAGGGATACTGAATCCACTGAACAGATTTTTTTCCTCAAGAGGCTCACAGGCTAGTGCATAGTTGCTTGTAATTTTCTAGTTTCTTCTTGTGAATACAAAAAGAACATTTGGTATTTAAATATCTGCTCCATTTGAGGAGTATCATGTTCTTTTTAGATGGTAACAGGATATCAAGAAACCCTTCTATCATGGAAAGATGCTAATACAGTCAGTTCCATGTTAAAATGGACAAATTGGGACAGGTTAAATCTTTGTGAACTATCTGGTTACTTACAGAGCGAGAAGAGCAACTTGGGGTTCAAAGCAGTACCTTGGTATCAGAGTTTCTGGATTTGAGTCCTGGCTCTGAGAGATGTTAAGAAAATACCATACCCACTCAGAGATACCATTTTCTCATTTGTAAAATGGAGAAATCATCCCTACCCCTATACATTGTTGTTCTGAATATCTAAGAGAATATAATTTATTTTCATCCTTTTAAGCAGTATTGATTTTAAAATGCACCATCAATTAATAATAGCATCTTTTTTTGGAGAGGGTGGACACAAGACTCTTCTGATTTCACAAGCTGAAATGAATTTTGTGGAGAGGGGAAGATGTGAGTCTTATAATCAATGAAATATGATAATTCAGAATGTTTAAAACTAGAAAATCCCAAACAAATGTACTACTGCTCTCTTTCTACTGGACTTTTAACCAAATAGTCACACATAAGAGGATTAGCCATAGAACACTGTTTATACCTCAATTTCAAGAAGCAATGCTTTGTCAAGATTCTTTCATTTGATGATACAAAAATAATTTTAATTATTTGGAGCTCAGAAAATATTAGATGGTTGCCATTTCATTACCTCTTCTTTTTCTAGTTTTCCTGGGATTTCAGAACCAGATATGCACAGAAGGGGCCCAGTCACATTACTTTAGGCTTCAGAGATACACATAGAGCTTTTCTCACCCTGGCTGCTTTTCAAGTCATCCTGTCAGGAAGGGCACCATTAGGAACTATTTGAGGAGGCTGGCTTCCCTCCCAGACATGCATTGGAATGCCCACCTCCATCAAGAGCACTGAGCTCTGGTGACTGGAAGGATTTGGGGTGGATCTCTCCAGGCTACGGCCTAAGGATTTCACTAGCTTTTACTTCAACCCCTGACTTAGCTCATCTCTCAAGTTGGCAAACTGCCTCTGTGTTGAAGTGGTGACATGGAATTTTCCATTGCTAAAGATTTACAGATGTTTGGCTTACCAATCCAAGTGTGTGTGTGTGTGTGTGTGTGTGTGTGTGTGAGAGAGAGAGAGAGACAGAGAGACAGAGAGAGAGAGACAGAGACAGAGACAAATAGATTATGAACTAAATTCATCAGAATCCAACTTTAACCAGAAATTCTAGACAATAGCAAGAGTCTATCTTTTCTGCACTCCACAAAGGAAGAGGATGTATGCACCTCTCTTGTACCTCTTTGGTATTGACCATTAATAACTCAGTTGTGGATACCGTGAGGGCAAGGATGTTATCAAGTTTTTTTTTTCTGTGTTCCTAACACTTGGCACAGAGTGTGGCACACAGTTATCAGCTAATAAATGCTAATATAAATGCTTGCTGAATTGGATGAGTTAAATGAAGAGTTCTGATAAACAAAAATGATCATTTAGTTTACCAGATCTAATACTAAATAGATCAGCCTTTTAGAATAATTTTTAATAATACACTGAATTAAGGTATGTCTTTCTCCATTCCTCCCCACCTCTTCTCTGTTTTCAGATAGAATTGGGATCATTTGTTTTGACTAGAACAATCTCTTGCAGCTTGGATGGAGAAACTTTAAAGAGGTTTCAGCCAAACACTTAGCAATTCTTTAATGTGTGAAATAAAGTAAGTTTTATAGGCAAATAACAATCTGAATCCCTAACTAGCTATTTCATATAATATTCATATAACTCTGAAAATTACATGCATCAAATTTCAATTTGGCTTCATGCAAGCTTTATTTTATAGATTAATAAAGGCAGATTTTCTTTGATTATCAGGATTATTGCAAAATGGAGTCAGCACAGAAGCTTTCTGAAGTTGGCAAAGTCTGTTTTCTTTCGGTGATAGGAGTAACTGATGTATTATTATTTTTTAAGACTCTGAGATAAATCTGATTCATGTTTGAATCATAAGTTTATTACTGATTTTTAGTGTGGATTTTGCATAAGACACTCAATTTAGAGAATACTCAGTTTTCTCATAGGTACAATAGAAAAACAGTGGTTACCTGATCAGATTTTTTGAAAGGTAAACACAACAGCAGTTGTAAATGGCATAGTCCATTGTTAGGAACAGACTAGGTGCTCAATAAATGAACAACAACAACAAAAACCATGAGGCTCTCTTGAAGCTTTATATTCCCTGTCTACAAAATGGAGACATCACTGATTTCCTGCTTACATTACAAGATTGCTGTGAAGATCAAATGAAGAAACATAAAACATAAAAATGTTTGGTAAACTGAATTGTACAGTATAAATAGAAAGTGGTGACAAAAGTAATTCATGCCAATGCAGTCTTTAAAAGTATCCCAACCTGCCTACATGACTACTTCCTCTGTCTGAGATTTATCTCAAAAGTATAATTAGATTTCTGTCTTAGCTGTAAAAATAAAGCCACAAAGGACATCATGCATGAAAGAGTAAATGTGAAACTCTGTGGGAGAAAATGGAAACTTCAGATATTACTAGGGCCTAGCTGCCAATGGTGATTCTCTCAAGATTTTATTGGCAGGTTGAGTGAAAGTGCCAGAGCAGGGATGCACAGGCTGTAGTTTAATTGGTGTGATTTATAGCTAATGGTGCATCAGAAGGAACTAGGAACTGTGCCTTTTAATTTAAGGCATAGTATCTAAGACTGCATCCACCAGATAAGAAAATCTTTCTTGGCAAACTCTAATATTAAATCATTGCAGAATTTGTCTTGTTCTTTTGTATAAAAATCATGGAGCTAGGAGCTAAAATAACATCTAAGTTTCTTCTTTGCCTGACGCCATCCATGTAAAATGTGACTTGCTTCTTCATCAGCAGCATGAAAACAAACTAATACACCACTATTCCTAGGTAAATAGAGCCACATTGGGAAGACCACTAAGGGAATATGGAGGCTCAAGGAGGCTAGTCAATTTATCCAAGGCCACACAGCAGAACTGGGACTCAAACTCGAATCTTCTAGTCCTAGTTTTATTCATTTTTTTTTTTCGCTACATTGATTCCAGACTTTCTTTTACAAGGGATTACTTTTCTCTGTTTTGTTCCTGACATGAACAGGTCCATAGCTGTCTCAGACTTGTTTGGTTACCCTAAGTAACCATTTAGCAGCCAATTTCTGATACGACTATAGATATATGTCTATAGTGAATTCTACAGGTGATTTGGCATGATCAAAATGAAAAGGCTTTGTTTGATTTCCCCAATAAACTCCTCAAATGAAAGCTTCTCAAGATATCATTTTGAGATACGGCAGGTCTTTCCTTCAAATACAACAGATACTTTTCTTTTGCACAACTCAGCATACATACAACTATTTATCTGTAAGTACTTACTTAGTATCTGTGAGGCACATTGCAGGTACCTGACATATGTCTAACTGATGGAGTGAGGCTGCTAATGTGGCCATCTCTCCCTTTTCCTGAGAAGAAAGTGAACCAGCCATTTCAAAATGTGGAGAATTCGTTAAATATGTTCTACTCCTCTATAGCTCTCCCACTAAAATAATTTTCAGTTTTCAATTGAGGTGAAAGCAAGAAGCGGCAGAGAGATGGATTGAGAGAATTGTTTATATTCCTAACTTTGTTCTCAACATAATTATCTATTTCTGAATCTTAAAATCACCTAGCTAGATTCTCCCTCAATCTGAAGATTACCTTTTACTCCTTGAGATGCTAAATGTGTTCCTATTTATCATATTAATATTGCAAGTATTTTGTGGTATGCAGCCAGAAAAATCACATAATGGGAAATTACCCACAGCCCCCAAACTCATAAACAGGAACTGAATAGAAATTCCTCAGTGCAATTTATGGTAACAATTTCATGCTCAGTTTAGCTACTTCCATGACTCAGAATAAGAAATTTCTTTTGCTTATTTCAGTACTTTTTTTCTAAAAAATTGTTTCCCTAATTTTTGGCAAAGGATGTATGAGAAAGTGAAGAACTCCCTGGTTGTACATGAATTTGGAATTGTCTCTTAAGTAAGGCCAAAATATAACCCCATACCATTCATTGCACAGTACTATTTGCTATAAATTTGACCTCTAAAACAAAGATATTACAAAATCATTGAGTGTTTTTTAAGGGATATATGATACTTGTCATTTAGTTCCCAGTATTATGATGGAAAGCCTGGATAGTGGATAGAAAACCTGGAGGTCATTTAGACATCTCTTTCAATGGGTGGGTGAGAAATGGTGAAGAAGATGGGAATGGAGAAGGACCATACATTTGGTAAGTGTAAATAAGAGTCTTTGCTGATTAATTCAGTATGGCCCATGAGAAAGAGTGGAAGTGTCCAAGGTTCCCTCAAGTTTCCAGCTTGGGCAACTGACTGGGAACAGAAAGGAGCTACCATTGAGAGGAAGAAAAGAAAATGACACTGAGTCCATGTTGGGACACACTGGGTTTAAAGGGATATCATTATGACCTAGGCTTTCTGAATTCCAGTGACTGGGAACATGGGAATATACATCTTTAACTATTGAAGCAATTTATACACCAGAGCCTAAGGAATATTTATAGATGAGGGCTGTGCTGCAGTGACAGATAGGGCTGTATGAAACATATACTAATCTGACCATTCTATCCTCCAGACTCATAGAAAAATTAGGAAATAATAAAAGTAAGCAACCATTAAAAATAGACCTTTATGCATAAATAAACAAAAATCAGCTAGGAGACAATTCATCCCTGTATAACTAAAACAGGCAAATTTATCTTTCTTCTGATTAATAATTTAAGAAGAAATCCCAAGCATGCTGCTTATGGAGGTGTAGGAGGAGATCCTATAATTAGACTCCAATTTGAACCATGAGGGTGAGGATCAGAAAGCTGACTCAGAGCCTGGTGTCAATTATTTGCAGTTTGTACAACAAAAGGCTAAAAATTTGGGAGATGCAGGATGACTGAAGCCCGATTCTGGGGGTTGTTATAGCACAGTTACAGGGTAAGTTTTTTTCCACTGTTATTTGCTGGAAAATTTATTCTCCATCTCCTTTAGTCTGTGCCTGAATTTTGTGGGACTTGCTCGAGAATGGTATTCATGCTTTAAATCCAAAAGCCAGGAATCATCACATTCCAACAACTTTCCTATTTATTTTAACCAAAACGGAGCTGGTTTCTATAAATCAATTTAAGAAATTATCCTCTTTGATACAATCTACTTATGTTTGATCGGTTTTAGAATAAACTAACAGATACACAAGAACTTATCAAGCTAGCTCGGTTCGGCGGAGAACTATAGCAGAAACAGCAGGTTTCTATTTGGCACATTTTGGATTTATCTGGACACAAGAGGATGTGAAAAGAACACCTTTCAGACAAAAGCCAGTCTTGAGTAGGAATTTAATATTCCTTGCTCAAACAGCTTAGTTTGTTTCCCATTTTCAGTCATTACCTGAATCCTTTTTTATCTCCTATGTAGAACAAATTCTCTCCCTCTATTTAATAGCCTTTCATATATGAAACAGAGTGAGAGAGAAAGAGGAAGGAAGGAAGGGAGGAAGGGAGGGAGGGAGGGAGGGAAGCAGGGAGGGAAAGAAGGAAGGAAAAGCTCTAATTTCTTCTGTTCTTTTGGTAACACACCTTCTCCCCTTCACATCCTTCAGCTGTTCCCCTTACAGCTTTCTGCAGACACTTCTGCTGGTCTCCCCTCTTCTCTCACACTCTGCTCACCACTATACTTTATTTTGTATTATCTGTCTCCATCCTTTCCCAAATCCTGAGCACTCAGCCTCCTCTGGCTCTTTTCTGATTCCTTCGCTCCTAGAACTGTGTCTGGTTGGCTCATGAAGGCAAATGACAAATGTTTGCCATGTGCACATGTATGTGCATGAATGAATACATCCAGATTCTGACTTCCTCTGGGCAACCTCTACTTTGTCAATGCCCCTCCTATGATGGGGGTAGGGGAGAGTCCTCCTAGAACTGAACATGATATTCCAGGTGTGATCTAATACACTTAAATGTCCAAAGCTCTTTCTTCCCTAAATGTTCCTTTTTAAAAGCTACTGTTCTCAATTAATGTGTGTCTCATCTTCTTAAGTATATTAATTAGAGGTATTTTGATGTTTCCCTCTATTCTTTGCATTATCTCTTGATTCTCTGGATTCTTTGTTATTGTTTTGTTTTAAGGATATCCTCAGGTGTCTGGTGATCCTTGCTTATAAGGCCAAACTAATAATGAGGCACTAAAATGCTGATTGGAAGCTCTCTGTGCAGGCAAGTATTGTTGAATAGTGGTAAACAGGTGATGTGTTCATTTTGGAGACACTCAAATATCAGGACCTATAAATCTCTATGCCAAGTCAGTTTCCCCAGAGTCTCTTAATATCATTTATTTCAGGTTAAAAGCCTGGTTACCAGGTTCTGGGAGTGAAGGGAGGAGAGGGGCTTAGACAAGTGTCGGGGTGGGAGTATGTCTCATAATTCACTAAGTACCTTCTTTCATATCTGTGTTCCCTGTGCAGCATTTTACCCCCACCATCATCCATGTCTGATGCCTAAGGTCCAATCTGGTTCAGTCTTTCCAAAGAGGAAACATTGGCTGGGTGGGAATGATTGGCAGGTCGAAGAGAGAATTTGAAGCTCTAGCTGCTCCTTTTAAAACTTCTAACTAATCTTTGTGTTTTCAGGACTTCCTCACATCCATGTCTTCAGATACCCAAGGCCTTTAATACCCGAGTCCTTCCTGGATTCTGCACATCTCATTAGCTTCATATTCCTGTAAGTACTTGGGTTTCTGCCTTCTCAGCTCTGATGTGTCATTTTCCAATCAATCATCAGCATTCCATCTTCCAAAGTTTTGTTCATATGTCTTACTTGTGTTGTCTTGACCAACTTCTTTTTGGAGCTTAGATTTTTTACCTATTTAACTTCCTTAATTGTTACTTTAGTGGAGTTTTGGACGGGAACAAAAATATAGGCAGGTGTTTAAATTATCACATTTAACAAGGAACTCAAAATTTATATTTAATTCTATTTAATTTAATCTGGCTGCTTTCTTGCCATCAGTCTATTTGAAAAGCTCATATGGACCCAGCTCTGTCATCATCACATGTTCTATGTCCCCAAACCTTGTGACATCTGCAAAAAAGTACAGAAGACCTCAAAGAGAAGGTAAACTAGAATTTATTTTTATACCTTTTATTCAGTTTTTTATTAAAGCTTTCCTGCCTTTCCAGATTGACACAGAATTATGCCATGAATCTGTCTATTAATCCATTTACAAGTTCTGGGGATAGAAATTAAGGTTTAAACATATAATTCTTACCATCAAAGGACTCCCTGTTGATTAGGGGACACAGGCAAGAAAACAGACAGTAAATTTGTTAAGGCATGAACAAAGAGCTGTGTTGGTATACACAGTACAGAGAGGAAGTACAAAGAGGATGGTGCTTAAGAAGAGGTAACACCTAGACCTAATCTTAGAGGATGAGGAAGCATTGGGTAGTCTAGAAGACTAGGTGTAGGGATGAAGGAAGGCATATCAGAGAAAGGGGAGCAGCTACACAGAGGCAAGGATTATGCCTCTTCTGCCTCTGAAGAGGAGAAATTTCTTTCAATCAATAGAAAGTACAGGACAATGGAGACGAAGTCATCTTTTGATGGGATAACTTGATGTTAGCGTCCTTCTATGAGAAAATGGGAAGCAGCCCCTTATAATAAAATCTCTGGCTTTTGAGTTACCAAGTAAAACTGAGATGTCAGCATCCCTTGGCCGAATGTGGAACTTGCTAATAGGACCCCTACATTCATGGGAAGGGATAAAAGAGCTTTAAAACGTACAAAAGCATTGTGTGAATATATGGGATAATATTATTACTACAATACTGCCTACCACCACCATCCCCAGCCCTGAGAAATCTTCTTAAACTTACAAAATGAAGCTGCTTCTCTGTGGATGTAGACATTTCCTGGTTTCAACATTGCACCATAGCTATGCATTATGTCAACATTGGGAAGAAGCAGGGTGGAAGATGCACAGGAGCTCTCTGTACATTTCTTTGAAACTTCCTTTATACCTTTTAAAAGTTAAAAAGCAGCAGCAATGGCAGCTTCTCAAGGCCAGAGATGGGAAGCTCTATTTCATTTGCATTTCTACTTAGGGCTATAATGAATTGAACTCAATGTGTTGCTAAAGATTATTATGAAATTAAAATCCAGTTAGGATGGTCTCCTGGGCCTGGTAAAAGCTTGGATTAGAGGCCAGGCACAACAAGGGGTTGGGGGAGAAGGAGTGCTCAATGGAAGTAGGGCTGAGTGGGGAGTTTAAAGCATTGGCCTCTAAGTATAGAAACTGCAGTACAAATTTTAAAATATACTCAGGAAAGTTAGTATTTGATCAAAATCCACTGTGACGTGAGGAATTTTTCCTGCTGGGCATTCTAGTTTCCAGTTCTGTGATCAAGCCCAGTGACTGGTAAATACAATATGCCCCACTAGCCCCCATCTTCTCCCAGCTCCTATTCCCTCCTGGTGCTGAAAGGGGGAATGGCTAAGAAATTCCAAGGCCTGGTCAGGAAAGTGATCTTGAAATCATACACAATGAATAGTGCCATCACTAATGACTCAGGTTGTAAAGAACCAGTGAAGTGAGGAAATTCTTTCTATGCAAAGAATGTCTGGATATTTAGGCAAAATTGAAGGGGCTGAGGCAGGAATAACTAGGACAAACTCAATAAGAACTTCAACCCTGGTTTTCCCAAGATCCAGTTTGCGTGCTGATCATTTTCTTTCATATCTAATTCCCTTACTTCCCCTGCTCTGTTTTATATCATAAGGGCTGACTTCATGCAAATTCCATGTAATTTGCATGTAATTCAGAATTTAATTTGGAATTTGCTCCCTGGGAAAATGACTTCTGACTAGGTTCAGCCAATGGGAGGCACTAACAGGAGATTGGAGGGTAGGAGGAAGGAGGCATAAAGGGAATTTCTTTCCCCTCTCTGTTTCAGGTGGCATTTCAAGAATGTCTGTTTTTCCTCCATGATTTCTATAGATATTCCTTAATGTTCAAGTCTCCATTAGCATAGGTATGAAGGTTTCTCAATGTGCTCTTGCTTTGGCTTCCTTTAATCAGAATAGAAAGAGAAAATTTTTTGACTTTATTCAAACATATTAGGGGTTTGCTAGAGAAAACATTATTTGCCCCTAGTTATCTTGATATTATAAAAGGAGGCAGACCTGGACAAGTGTAAATTAGCACAGACATTCTAACAATCACCAGACAAAATGCACCCAATAAGTAATGCCAATGCAAGAAGTTTTGACTGTAATGCCCATGTGCAATAGGCTGAATGATGGCCCCCAAGTATATCCATATCCTAATCCTAAGAACTTGTGAATGTTACTTACTATGCTGAAAGGGGCTTTGAAGGTGTGATTAAGAGTTTTGAGATGGGGAGATTTTCCTGGATTATATGAGTGTGTCCTAAATATAATCACATAGGTCCATGTAAGAGGTAGGCAAGGTCAAAGGAGGAAATAGAAGGTGAGATAATGAAAACAAGAGGTTGGAGGGCTGGAGGAAGGGGGTCACAAGCCAAGAAGCATAGGTGGCCTCTAGAAGCTAGAAAATGCAAAGAAATAGATTTCTTATAGATTCTTCACAGGAGACCAGCCCTGCTCACACCTTGACTTTAGCCCAGTGAAACCGATTTCAGACTTCTGGCCTCCAAAACTGTAAGAGAATAGAACTGTGCTGTAATAAGCCACTAAATTTGTAGTAATTTGTTATAGTAGCAATAGGAAGCTAATATAATGTTCCAAGATACGATAAAAAAATTCTTTTTATTTAAACATGCCTCTTGCTTTAAAAATTCCACATCTAGGCTGTTAGCAAAATTCATACACAAATTCTAGCTTACTATAAAATAATCACTTAAGGAAGTGTATAAAATTTCTTTGCTTCAGATATCATAGTGCCTCAGATTCCCTTTCAAGACTGAGACACTTTCTACTCCAGATGCCCTTGGCTGAAGACAGCTTCTATTTAAACAGGTAAATGGCCTGTTTGCAACATGCAGCCTTTATTCTTATCTGCATGGCATACTCCTTCTCTTTGTTTAAAATTTGATAGTAAGTCTTTTATGATTTTGCTGCTTTAAGTGAAATTAATCATGCCCCCCTTTATCGTACTCACTCTATACCTCATATACATATATTCATTTTTGCATTTATGAAAATTGTATCTTTTATGTTTATTATACCTGTTTCCCCTGCCAGCCTAAAACTTTATGGAGGAAGATATTATGTCTTATTTAACTGTGCACACTCAGCTCTTAGTACAAGTAAGTACCTAGTACATAATAAGTACTCAATAAATATCATTTGAATTGAATAAGAACACTGAGTTTAGGTTAAAAAAAAATCTCAGAAGGAATGTCAGAGAGTAAGTACATACTTACTGCTGGGGTGACCAGGGGCAAATTACTTAACCTTTCTGAGTTGGAAATTATGCCAACTACAATTACAAGACCATTGTGAAGATAAATAAGATGACACATGTAAAGAAGCTGTACAAAGTAGGGGTCTAGCCTGGGTGACAGAGCGAGACTGTCCATTCTCCTCATAATAAATGCCCATTCTCCTCATAATAAGTTGAAAATTAGTTTGCAACGAACTTGCTCCTGCCCTTTTTTGTATTCAGGATTTGGCAAGACCTTCTGAGCTAATTTAGGACAACTTAGTGTTTAGCATAACTCTTTCATAGATTTGCTCTATTATCAATGTCTGATGATGTTGACAATGATGATGAAGAAGGAAGAAGAGGAGTTGGAGGAGGAGGAAGAAAACATCCAGAGCATTCAATTTATTCTAGTTAAATTACTAAGCAGAAAGACAATGGCCTAGGAAGTCTACTTTGTAATGCTGTTTGGTTCTAAGTACAGAGCATCCAGTAGGGAGACATGTAAATCCTGTTTCCAAAACACACTTAGAGGATTAGAGCATGTGGAAGATTTGCTCCCCACCTGGCTCAGAGCTACCAAGGTCACATTGGCTGTCTAAGGACATGTCTTCTGGCTAGAATAAGCCCTGGTGAAATTTTACATGATATCAGCACCTTTGCAGAAAGTAAGAAATAAACCACCTGAAATCTACACATTAAAATTCAGCCTGTGTTGGTCTAATCAAATTTGGCTCTGTTAGAGAATTGAATTCACAGCAGAAAAGAGAAAAATGTATGTTCTTTTCTCAGCAGAAATTAGAATGTAGAATCATCATTGCTTGCCCCCAATGCTAAAAGCTTTCGTATGTGATGTTGTTGTTGTTGTTGTTGTTTTTTGTTTTTTTTTGTTTGTTTTTTGGTGTGGAATCTTCGCTGCGCAACTGGACCTCAGCTTGGAGCCACAAAGCAATGACTGCAGATCATGTAGGAGAGTATCTATCTGGCAATAGCCTGCACTTGTTTTGTTTTTTCTCTGCTTGCTCTTGAAAAGGGGGAGAGGAACAACCTTTGAAAGCTAATTATTCACTTTGAGAGATGATTAAGATGTGTAGTGCTCATGTGCATATTTGAAATGTAGAGGTGTGGTTTGTCTTTGTTTTTTTGAGATGGAGTCTCCCCCTATCACCCAGGCTGGAGTGCAGTGGTGCAATCTTGGCTCACTGCAACCTCTGCATCCTCGGTTCAAGCGATTCTCCCACCAAAGCCTCCCAAGTAGCTGGAATTACAGGCGTGCACCACCACACCTGGCTAATTTTTGTTATTTTTTAGTAGAGATGGGGTTTCACCATGTTGGCCAGGCTGGTTTCAAACTCCTGACTTCAAGTGATCTGCCTGCCTTGGCCTTCCACAGTGCTGGGATTACGGGTGTGAGCCACTGTGCCTGGCCTAGATGTGTTTTTTTTTAAGTGTGTTGACTTAATGTCATTGTGGTATGATTCAAAATTAATGACACCTGAGGGCAGCCCTTCTGTGTATAGTGTCATATCATAAGTGTGGTTGTCACTTCCTCCCAGCTGATCTCCCTTTGATAAGACTAATAAGTCATATTTTGGGTTTCCTTATTCAGACCCTTTTGTTGAGTTTCATATCCCACCAAGTTGTACATTACTAGCTCACACCGTCTAGCTTTTATATATGCTCTCTTTTAATTCTTTCAAAAGCTCTTTGTGGAATATAGTCTTATTCCACTGTACATATGTGAAAACTAAGGCTCACACTAGTTGTGAAATATGCCCAGTCACACAGCTAGAAAATGTTGGTGGCAGAAGTGGAACCCTGATCTGATAACTTCATAGTGTTGTACGCAACTTCCTTCATGTACACAAAATGGCTGTCAATATGAGAAATTACCTGAACAACAAAGAGAAGACAACGACTTTTCTATCATAGGCCCAATTATCATGATAATTTAACATCCACAGAGGCTGCATCATATCTAAATGTAACAACTACAAACTGAAGAAACCTGCCATGGGGGTGACAAAAGTGGATTTGGAGTGAATCTCCCTTGCTGTTCTCTCCTCCTCCAGAGATAGAAGACACAATTCACAAATAGACCATCTTTCAAATGCAAGCAACAGTCCCTCCTCTCTGCCTCCTGTGTCCATATATAATTCTCTTAAACAGCATAAATCTCATTTCTATGCATGTTACTATCTGTATGCATTTTTTCTTGGTCCCGAATTAAATTTATTTCATCTGTAAATGCAAGCAGGCTACACCTTGGGCCCCTGAGAATTCCTAGATTTATAACTATCACTGTACATGTCATATCCATGCATAAAGTCCAGTAAAGTATTAATCACTTCATTTCTATCACAGGAAGAATTTCTCTGGGGCCATTTCCCCCAAGAAATACATACATTTTATCTGTCGATAAAGTGACCACACATGTCCAAGGAGCACAAAAATAAATCACATTAAGGGGTGGAAGTTAGATTTTTTAATTTTTATTCTTTATTTTTAGATGGAATCTTGCTCTGTTGCCCAGGCTGGAGTGCAGTGGCGCGATCTTGGCTCATTGCAACCTCTGCCTCCCAGGTTCAAGAGATTCTCCTGTGTCAGCCTCCAGAGCAGCTGGGATTATGGGCATGCACCACCATGCCTGGCTAATTTTTTTATTTTTAGTAGAGATGGGGTTTCAACATGTTGGCCATACTGGTCTCAAAATCCTGACCTCAAGTGATCCGCCTGCCTCTACCTCCCAAAGTGCTGGGATCACAGGCATGAGCCACCACGCCTGGCTGATTTTTTTTTTTTAATTAATGAATATTAAATTTTGAAGTGCTGAATTTATTCTATTCTGTGGATAAGACTGGCTGCCCACCAGTCTGGAAGTTCCTAAAGCAGTGATTGTGTTTTTTCCATGCTATCGCCACTTCTCACCCAATCTGGTTTTTTGCCCCCATTCAAGATAAAACTTTCACCAACCAAGTTAAAGGATGATTTGGACTCTGTCATGGAGCTATATTAGGATTAGAAAAGTATCAGAGAACGTGCCTTGAATGATTTAGCCTGGCATTCGAGGCCAATTTGATCTGCCCTCCACTTTCCTATTATATCTCCTCCTGACAGCCTTCCTGATAACATTCCAAGTGCACCAAGTGTTTTCGTACAAGCATACCTTGTACTTTCCCATTCATAGTTTTTTTAGTTTTATTTTTTCTTCCCCTTACAATGATGCTTCTTCTCTCTTGACATTCTAAACAATCTTCATGACTCAGAACAATTATCATTTTCTCCTCCTGAGTCCTCAGGTCCAAAAGAAGCCACTTCATTTTTTGTATACTTAACAAAGCACTCCGTTATGACATTCAGGCATTTTGATGTATTTTGGTTCTATGTGTGTACTCTTTCTCCCGGAGGACCCACTCTAGAAGGATAGGAGACACATCCTAGCTATTGCTTTAACGTCTAATACCCCAGCAGAGAGTCCTGTGTGAGCGACTTAAAAATGTCTATAGAAATAGAGTAATTTTATTTAATGCATGGCAGCATTTTCTTAGGATATTGCCGAATGAGGTTACTGCATGCTAGTAACAATTAACATATTCATTAGAAGATGATCTTAGTCCCAGAATTTGGCTGTGTGGTCTTCTTGGGGACATCTAGAGATGGGGGCATGGATAAGATGTCTTGGGGACTGGTCCAGGTGCAGGACAAGAGAAACAACTATCACAAATAACTGTCCATTCTGTAGCAGGGTGTTGTAAGATTCCAGTCCATGTGAGAATGAATGGTTGTCTTCATGCCCAGTGGCATGAAGTAGATGCTTAATAAATGAGGTACCCCTTGTGCTCCCTCACATCCATCCAGTGCTTCTCTCCATCTTGGCATTTACTCTCCAGTTGTATTGTAATGAGTGGCCTCTCTGTGACTCATTACTAAAGACTAGGGCTTGACAGTTTAAAAACAGTGCCTAGCACATAATCAGCCCTAGATAAATAGATATTTATTGAAAAAATGATGAAGAAAATAGTATAAGAAGAAAAGAATGAAAGACAATAAACCTGAACATGGAGGTTTCCTAATCAGCTTTTTGAAGAATATTCATTGGACTCATTGTGGAGATTATAAGCATTATGATATAGGCATGGTTACTGGCTTCACTGTAATATTACTCAGACTTTTCTGTTCAGAAAAGGCTAAATTTCAGGGAGAGCACTTGTCAGAGTGCTTATATTGGGTCAGCTGGGACATGCTTGGGAGCAGATGGATTAATCGCATTCCCTGCTCAGACCTCAGTAGCACCTTCCCTATGACCCTGAGAGTTTATGTGTGTATGTGCATGCTTGTGTAGATTTAAAAGAAGCAATAATATAAATTCTGAGGAAAGTCTGAAGATATTTGATGTTATCATTTACATTGCATTCCTTTAAAGGAAAGAGAAATTTTAATTGAGAGTGTTTAGGCCAACTGAGAGCTCTGGAAACAGCTCCCCACACCCATATACCATGGCCTACCAACCCCTCTCCCATTCTTATTGGCAAAGTTTCATTCTCCAAATTCATATCCAAAAGGACCTATTCCACTGCCCACCATATGTATTTCTTTTCCCTGAACTGCTATCACATACTGTTTTACTGTTTCAGCAGTAGGCTGTTGGCATCATAGTGCTCTGGGGAAGTTGTGCTAATCCAAGTCCTGACATCTCCTCAAAGATGCCGAAACAGTGCAGTAGGAATTCTGCAGGTGCAACTTGAGCCTTCTAGGAAAGGCTGTGCCACAAAGGCACCCTGGTCAGCACCCTGCTCATCTGGCCATAACATGTCTGAGATTGCGCAGGTCAGGGAACATCTTGCAGCACTTGCTAGTTTTGTAGAGAACTCAGAAATGTTAACAGATGGCATGCAGAACACAACCCTGAACAGTCAGCAGGGTGACACTCATTAAGAGTCATCACTGAATCCATTTCCAACAAAATCTCATTCCAATGAAACATCACTTTCCGAAAAATGTCAATCTGCTTAAATGAAAGTGACTACAGGGTACTATAATGCCAGGCCTGGTTGAATCCCTGCAGGCAACAAGGACTCTTTTAGAGCCTCAGGGCCTTTCCACCCATAATTTCCTCTCCAACGTGGGTCCTGGTCAGATTCCTCTCCAACTCTGTTAGCCTCTGCAGATGAGACAGAATGCCTGGTAGCACTCAGAACTTCTCCTCCTGAGCCTGACATTCATTCCTCTGCGTACTTTTCCTCCCTAGTAGAACACTTGGGGAAGCCGGAGGGAGGAATGAGTAGAGGAAGGATATAGAGAACTTGTTGTTCCTCAAGTCAGAATTCCTTCCACAATGGAAATGTATTTATTCTTACCTTTCTTCAAGTATATGACCAATTCATTCTTCAAGAAAAGTCATTTCCTCTCTCTCCCTCTATTGATTCCTAATGGGACACATTGATCCCAATGCAATCTGCTAATCTACATTTTGTTGCACTTTAGGCATCACTAATGAATTAAAATATTAATATGTGAAACTAAAATCAAGTGCACACAACACCAACACTTGATGATGATGCTTAGGTTGCCAACCCCTTTGCTTAGCACTCACTGATGCAGAGGCCAACATCTCCCTTTCTACCACTTGCTGCCCTCCACCCCCACTAAAAGGTAGGACCTCCAATAGTCATGATTTTCACACTTTCAGGTCTTCTCCCTACAAGGCCCTACTCAATCATCCAAGACCGAGTGCAAATGCCATCTCCTCTAGTCAACATTCCATAAAGCTTCAGTCAGCAAGAGTTGCTCTCTTATCAGTGTTTCCATATCTCTTTATTATAACATCTAGATTAAAACTTGTCTTATTCTGTCTGTAATTTCCTGCTGCTACAACTCCAATGAAAATGTATTAAACACACCTAGTGCCTGGCACAATGAATCAATTGGATGGCTTAACAAAATAGACCTCTTGAATTGATTCCCCTAGCTCACTAACTCTACCACCAGGAGTGAGGTGAAAAATCACATGAGTGAGGCCGTAACACTGCTTAGATGAAAGGCTGGTATCCGTTAGTTGGTACATAGCCTAGGAGCTAAGAGACCTTGGTTCTAATCCCACTTCTGGCACTAACATTTTCCCCAAGCTCACATCATGGTAAACCAAAGGTATCAGTTATCTACTTACTTGGTAAATGTTATCAATAAACTTTGTCTTGGTTATACCATTGTTTACCAGTAGTCCATGCTTTATTATAGTGTCTATTCTTAACAATCCTCTTCTTGCTACCAAAGTCATTGGGCCAAGAGAATACCAATAGTTGCCTATAAAAAAATAAACTCAGACATCTTTCATGAACACATATACCAAAGAAGATATGGTTGCAGAGGAAGGAAGACATGGCTCGGCTGTGTGACTCTGGGCAAGTTACTTAACCACTGTGGAATAAGGATAATAGCCAAACCAGCCTTGGCTGCATGGTTATGGGCATACAAGAGCTAAATTCTGGAAAACACTTAGCAGGAAGTGCCCCCACAATATTAGCTATTTCTATTACTGTCTTTAAACTTTAGTCCAGCCTTATAATGTTTCCTGATTCTTATTTGTTTATAGTGAAATCCTAAGAGATTTTAAACTGGATACTTTCTATATCTAATGGGCTTTCTGAAAAATTATATTTTTATTTTCCTGTTTTCTTAAGAAGGATGGAAACAAATATATAGAGACTTTATTATTTCTAATAAGTGCTTCTTTACTATAATAATCTAAATCTTCAACAGATAGATGAGAAAAGAAAAATTCTTGCCAAAAATGATCAGTCCAAACCTTAATTATGTTAATTATATCTGTCAGCAGAGATCAAAGGTTAAGTCTGTTCTCTGCTTCAAAGAATGATAATGATAATAAACAGTTATTCTTAGTAGCTAAAGTATATTTTGCAATTGTAACTGACACCATTTGACTTTCATTTTTTTATAAGCAAAATGATTTGCAATGAATTTTCATGCTCGAAACAGTAAGTGCTTTTAACTTAGTAAAATTCACTTTTGCCCAGCATGACCCACATTCCTATTCACAATTTGCCCTGCTACTTGAAAACATTGCTTGAGCAATAAAACAAAGAACTTGGAAAACCAGCTTATCTTTTGGAAAGCCCTGGAATTGCATATACTCTTCAGTTGTCTGCATTTTAAGCACCTTAAAGAAGTTT